TCCAAACAAAGTCAAGTTGGTATTTACTAAATAGTTTTTTAGTGCAGTGACATTCAAATGAAGGCCAGATTTAGTAAACATGTCAGTATGTCCTTGTGCAGCTCTGCTGGTAAAGCTAATGCAATACAAAGATCCTTTGGCGATCACTTGTTCCACCAGCATGAATAAAATGTGGTGCAGTGTTCTCCACTGAAGTAAATTAGAAAACCATCAATGCAAAGTATTAGCAGTTGTCGGTATGTACGATCTGTGGGTATGCACAGGGTATCCTGGAGGGCAGTAGGATGAGCACCCAAAGTCTGATTTTTTTTTTTTTTTTTATCTTTTTCCATCTCATGCTAACACAGTGGTTCTTAACCTGGGTTCGATCGAACCCCAGGGGTTCGGTGAGTCAGTCTCGCGGGTTCGGCGGAGGTGAAGACCCACACCCGACTCATATGATTCGTGATGACATGCCCCGCTTGTCCATCATTGGCTGCAGGTGGTCACGCAACATCGCTTAGCCCAGTGGTCGGCAAGCCGCGGCTCGCGAGCCACATGTGGCTCTTTACACGCTTTAATGCGGCTCTTGTGTGCCGGGCGCCCGCTCCCCTCCCTCCTCTCGGGCGGCAGGGACTCTGCAGCATGATCCAAAAAAAAAAACAGCCAGGGCAGCGCGCTCAAATGCAATGATTGGCCAGTCTCGCTGCCACTCACATCCTGATAGCCAGTGATTGGCTGTCAGGATGTGTGTAGGCGGGGCAGCGTGACGAACGTGAGAGGAGCTAGGCTCCTCTCACAGTCTGCCCTGAAGACCGGAACGGCGCGGGAATACGGCGAGAGGAACGCGCGGAGCAAAGGTAAGTGAATTGACACAGGGGGGACTTGGCTTACTACTTGCTACTTACTTACTTACTACTACTATATAAGGGATGAATTACTATATGAGGGATGAATTACTATATGAGGGATGAATTACTATATGGGGGATGAATTACTATGGGGGATGAATTACTATATGGGGGATGAATTACTATATGGGGGATGAATTACTATATGGGGGATGAATTACTATATGGGGGATGAATTACTATATGGGGGATGAATTACTATATGGGGGATGAATTACTATGGGGGATGAATTACTATGGGGGATGAATTACTATAGGGGGGATGAATTACTATATGGGGGATGAATTACTATGGGGGATTAATTACTATAAAACAGTGGTTCTTAACCTGGGTTCGATCTAACCCCAGGGGTTCAGTGAGTCAGTCTCGCGGGTTCGGCAGAGGTGAAGACCCACACCCGACTCATATGATTCGTGCAGTAAATACCGTATTTGCCGGCGTATAAGACGACTTTTTACCCCTTAAAAATCTTCTCAAAAGTCGGGGGTCGTCTTATACGCCGGTATATACGGCATACTAACACTTTTTAGGGGGGCGGCGCGTTGCCGCCGCCGCCCCCCCCCTTCCCCCAATGGAAGGGACACTAAGTACAGTGGCTGTTTCTTACCTGGTTCCGGTCCAACGACGATCCGGTCCAGGAAGCGCGGCTGCGCCTTCAGTTCAGTCACTGGATGTTCGTGCGGCGCTGCTCGGCTCCGCCTCCTCACCAGTGATTGGCCGCCAGAACTGTAGCTCAGGAAAGGCACACAGGCGGCCAATCACCGGCGAGGGGGTGGAGGCGAGCGGACTCCCCCCCGCGAAAATCGACTGCAGGACCAGCAGGTAAGTGGTCAGTGTAGAGGTGCTGCTGCAACCACATATGCTGGCTGCAGCAGCACCATACGAGAACAGGGTCAGCAAGTGTCAGTGGGAGGAATAGTGCCCCATCATTGGTGTCACTGATACCAATGATGGAGCACTATTCCTCTCACTGATACCAATGATGGGGCACTATTCCTCCCACTGACACCAACGATGGGGCACTATTCCTCCCACTGACACCAACGATGGGGCACTATTCCTCCCCCCCCCACTGACACCAATGATGGGGCACTATTCCTCCCCCCCCACTGACACCAACGATGGGGCACTATTCCTCCCCCCCACTGACATCAACGATGGGGCACTATTCCTCCCCCCCACTGACATCAACGATGGGGCACTATTCCCCCCCCCCCACTGACACCAATGATGGGGCACTATTCCACCCCCCACTGACACCAATGATGGGACACCATTCCTCCCACTGACACCAATGTTGGGACACCATTCCTCCCACTGACACCAATGATGGGGCACTATTCCCCCCACTGATATCAATGATGGGGCACTATTCCCCCCACTGATACTAATGATGGGGCACTATTCCTGCCACTGATACCAATGATGGGGCACTATTCCCCCCACTGATACTAATGATGGGGCACTATTCCTGCCACTAATGCCAATGATGGGGCACTATTCCTGCCACTGATACCAATGATGGGGCACTATTCCTGCCACTGATACCAATGATGGGGCACTATTCCTCCCACTGATACCAATGATGGGGCACTATTCCTGCCACTGTGCATTGGAAGAGGGGTAGTCTTATACAGCGAGTATAGCTCAAACACTAAATTTTAGCAGGAAAAGTAGGGGGGTCGTCTTATACGCCGGCAAATACGGTATTCATTATTATGTTTTTGTTTTTGTGTGAAAATCAGGTTTTAATGGTTTTGTTCTTTGTTCTTAACGGTTTTGTTCATTTTGTGCACCTATGTATAAATATATACCTATGTTTTGAATTTTAAAAATCATATTTAATTTTTCCAGTTAAGAAGGGTTCGGTGAATGCGCATATGAAACTGGTGGGGTTCAGTACCTCCAACAAGGTTAAGAACCACTGTGCTAACATATGTGATATTTGCCTGTTACTTCCCTCAGCAGGGTTGTTTGCCCCCCCCCCCCTTTATTTCTTTAATTTCCTTTTTTATAGAAACCATTTTACTACTGTATAAGCTTGTGAGGTGGTGGGTAGAAGAGTAGAAGTCTCTGAGGTGACCTCCTCTTCCAGTGGGATGCAGTAGTCTTTACAATATGCAATGATTGGTTCTGCTTTGTTTTTTTCCGGGGAAAAAGCTGTTTGTTTTCTATGCTGCATAAGCTATTTTTCTAAATATATATATATATATATATATATATATATATATATATATATATATATATATATATATATATATATATATATTATATATATATATATATATATAATGTGTGTAAATTTTTTTTTATTATGTTTGTAAGATTTTTAATAAACAAAATTTACAATATGCAATGCGTACTGAGCCAGCTTCTTACCTACAGCTATAAATGGTAAATCAAAAATTAACACCTGAGATTGGCCCTGACAGTCAGTGGATCCAACTGATTTTTTACTTAAACCTTTAAGTATTACTCCCAGTATGAAGCACCAGCCATGCTTCATTTATACATGGCATAACCCTTTCAGTTAAAGCAGTGGGGCCCTAGCGGAAAATCTCAACATGGACCCTGATGTTGATGCTTTGATACCCCTGGTTTCATTTTCAGTAAGCTTAACACATAAGTGAGAAAGGCCACCATTTTTCTTTACAAAATATGAAGTTACCGATAAAGGGGGAGTAGCTGTTGTATTTGGGTCCACACATCTGAAAGACTACTAATCAGTTTTAACCGCTACACTCACCTGTAGTTATGTCCTGAAAGATAATGCTCAAAAAATCTCCAGTCTTTTCATTAACAATGTAGTAGTCTGTTTTCTTAATCTATTATTCCCCTAAGTGTTATTTAGGCATTTACATTGTTGTCAAGATGCTGCTCTAATTTTACATTTTATATCCATCACATTGTATGGCAACTCTTATCTCCAAAATCAGATTGCTCTGAACTATGTTAGGCTTTGACCAATCTTTCTGAATGTTTATAGCAAGTCGTATTATCATTATTAAAACCGTTGCAGTCAAATATCAAGGAATGCAATAAAGGAGCAAAGTCCACCCTGTTCAGAAAACAAACAAGTGGAGGAAATAAACCCAGTGTGTATATATATCTGCAGATAGAGGATTGGGGCTTGGCAGGAAGGCTTGCTAGGATACCCAGCATGGAAACAAAGCAGGGTTAAGTGGTTTTACTATAAATCTGCCCACACAAGAGTTGTGTTTCAATGTTGACATTTTCTCAAAACATAATGAAATATTTAGAAGGCTTTTACGCCTATCGCCTGCAAAATGAGCTCCAAATATGCACAGCAGGAACTGGAAGGGCTGACAGCTTTAGCAAGTAAAGTTTTAAGCTTTGGCAAATAACTTGAAGTCTGTTATGAATTTGACTTTGTGAGAAGATTCCACTGGCATGCTTCATCTATGTTTGAATCTTTAGTGTAATAATCTGTATTTTATTGGCTTTTTACTGGGGGTTAAATATCATTATCTTTGTTCTAAACCGCAGATGAGTGTCAAAGTGAGTGGGACTTAGAAAACCTACAGCCAATGAAAGTACAAGAGGCACATGGTGCAGACTTTTTTTTTAACTGACTTCTGCATATCCGTGAATTAGCAAGTAAATTTTTTACAAGAATCACAAAAAATGTGGTATATTATTATATTGTATGTATCCCTGGTGTGATTAACACTGATTTAGTGTCTGGTCACTGGGAGAGACAACAGAATCTCTCCAACAGACACCAGGAAAGCTATACGAGGGCTATTTTTTTTAATGGTGTCCACTCTTGGAATAGGATTTTATTTTTAAAAGCTTAAAATGGAGTTTAAAATTTTCACTTTAAAAAGGATGGGGGAAGATTTCCCTTCTACTGCCGCAGTGCTTACACAAAAAAGGAGGATAACGCTCCCCAGCAGAGACACAAATAGTAATATAAATCATGGGCATGAGTTCTAATTCTACTGACCCTGCAAAAAAAATGCTTTTTTTCTAGTGACAACATCCTCTCCTAGTGACTACCTAAGAAGTGAGGGAAATCTGTCTGGCTTTTTTCACTTTAAAATTTGAATGTATGCTGATTTTTTTTTTATTTGTAATGTTCTTTTTAGGAAGGGGAAGCGACTCAGAATCAGACCAACCCCACAGAAGATTACCTGATGTGAGGAAAGATGACATGTCTGCCCGACGGGTATCTTTTGGCGAGAACAAAGCATTAGTGCCTTTTAACCAGTACCTTCCCAACAAGAGCAACCAGACTTCATACATCCCCGCACCTTTGAGAAAAAAGAGAGTTGAGCATGATTACCGGAAAAGCTGGAGTACTGCAACTTCACCACTAGGGGGAGAAAGGCCTTTCAGGTAATATGTTCACAGCGTACTAAACCTTGAGCATGCCCTTCATGGTGAGCCAAACTGCAGATTTTATAATATTAAGTGCAACAGCTTTCCGTCGGAGAATATATAGGGGTTTGTACAATTGTTTAACATTTTGTTGCATTTTTTTTTCCAGTTCTTTACATGATATTACCTATTACTGTTATGTGTTCTCCATTTGAGCCAGCAGGTGGAACATTAGGTTCCTAATCGCATGTTTTCTCTAATGCATTTGCCTGTTGAAAAACAACTGTTGTTTATGGCAATCAGTTGCTGCAGATAATTGAATTGCAGTGACTCCTTCCTTATCTGATGGCTCAGTCTGAAGCTTCAGTCAGATCAGTTTTGCCTCAAAGTAGGCAAAGTCTTCTGTGCTTCTTTGTAACTAACCCATAATGCTCTGGGAATCCTTTGTAGTAATATTAAATTTAATTAACATTTATTTGTAAGATAATTGTGTGAATGTATATTTTTTATATACACACATGTGCGCATTTAAGCTGTCCATAAATGAGTAACTTTTTTTGTTCAATATGTGGGTTAAAAAAAAATAAAAAATAACCGATTGCCTCATCCACACATTTGAGTTGAATGGGGGAATCCTTCCTGCTGTGCTATTGTATTCTGACAGCAGGGAGACTTCCCTGTCGCCAAAATACAGTAATCCGTGTTGCCAGCCTATAGCCTGCTGCACTGATTGTTCAAGAAAAAGCCAGCAGGCTGGTTGTGAACAAGTTGATCGACTTGTGTATAACCATCCTGACCATACATGGATCAAAATCCGGCCAGTCCCTGCTGAACTGGTCGAATTTCGATTCATATATGGCCGGTTTTACTATGACTGGAGAACTACATTTCTGGATATACTGATTTTTTTTTTTTTCTTACATGTGGTTGTCACTATAATTAATTAAGTATTTTTCATTATCTGCTTTGTCTACTTCATTTTAACTATACCTATATACAGTGGGGAAATTTACGAAAACTGGAGCAGACAGAATCTGGAGCAGCTGTACATTCTATCTTTCATTTTTAAAGCTGAAGTAGGAAGCTGATTGGTTACTTTGCACAGTTGCTCCAGATCTGTCTTCTCTAATTTTAGTAAACTCCCCCAAAAATCTACATTCAGGGATATTGGTAGATGAAATTCTATGCAAATTTCAACTTTATCTGTAAAGATTGAGTGTGGCTTTACCCATTCCAACTCCATGAACTTTTCTGGTTTATTACAATGTACTTCACATTAAAAAACAAACTGCAAGACTAAAGCCAGCCATAGATGGTTTGAATCTCAGCCGGTTCAGCCATTTATGGGCAGTTGTATCCTATCCAATTGTTGTACGACTTGGGTACAACCAGCCTGTCAAATTTTTCATGCGATTATTGCTAGTGGCTATAGCCGCTAGCAATAATCACTATATTCTCCCAGCAGGGACAGCTCTCCCCCCACTGGGTGAACCCGGGGTTGCAGGAAAGAAAATCGCATCATCTACTCCCTGCTTTAGTAGGTGGGAGGGCTCAGATAACCTTATGTTTACTGGAAAATTCAAATTAGTGGTGCTATTTACTCCTTTTTGTAGTGCTTTTGAAGTCTCAAGCTTAGAGGAAATAAGCTCATCCTGTTCTTGTGAACGTGTTGCATTTTTATCTGAGCCTTTGTGGTTGTGATTTTTCTTTAGGTTTTGGATGGGGTGTGAATTAAAACCCTGATCTTTCATTAGATATATATCTTTACTGTGGCAGTAACAACAACTAGATAGTTAGGGAGGGAGATTTGTTTTCGTCTCTGTTGCGTTTGTTCCCTCACTTCCTGTCTGGTGAAAGCATGGTCTCTGTGACAGTAAGTGAGGGGAGATCTCTGTATTGTAGCCCCAGGTAGCAGTTAAAAATCTGACGGGAGAGTCTTATACTTTCCCATTCTATCCAAAATTACAATTAAAAGTTTTGTCTGAACATACCATTAGGCCCAAATACATATATGTTTAAAGCCCACCTCTGGGAAAAGGATAAATTATCCTTTGCAGTGGGGCTGCGCCCACACAATGGTTTAATTGCTCATTTTGTCTAGGGTAGGGGAGAAACTTACCTGATCCTCTGCTCCCTTGGCAGGCAGCGCTCCCCCATAATCTGGTGGTTGGCTGTTCTCAGTGTCCTCATGTCTATGGACCCTGCTTCGGTCTTAATGACATCAGGACCCTAGACCGGCGGAGTGTGGCAGTGCGGACACTGCAGGGACTGGTCTAACAGCAGGGCGGATCGAGTAAGAAAATCTCCTTTTATTGTTACCCTAGACCTAAACGAACAATAATTCCTTGCACTGCGGACACAGCCCCACTGCAAGGGATCATTTTTTTGTTTTCTTTTGGAAAAGTGGATTTCCGATTAAATTACAAAGTTTCTGATCCTGTTATTTGATCGATGAGGATCGGTGTGTTGCTGAGCTTTCGTTTCCGAAAATATATTTATGGATGATCTGCCATCACATTATCAAGGTTTTTGGTGAAATTCTTCAAGTTTAGACACTTTTTTTGCACTTTAAAGTTTTTTTTCCTTGCACTTTTTTGTGGTATTGGCATATATTTTTCTGGACTTATGATTTGATGATTTTTTATATATATATATTTTTTATATATTTATATACATTTACTAGCGCAAATTATTTATTAATTTGTAAACTTTATATATGGTGGTTTTTTGCAGCTGGTACATTATTAGTAAGTTATATAATTTTGACCATAGGCGCTATTATATATTTTTCTTATCATTTTTTTGTTGCCTGAAGTTGGGCTTCAAGAGTTAAGGGAAGGGTGGTTTTTAATGTGCATATAGGGATCACTGACACCCTGTAAATCTGAAAGATTAGCTTTAGCATGGACACAAGCTTGAGGCATCATAACCGGGATACTCATAAAGCACAGTATTGGCCATTCAATGAAGATGGGAATATGAACAAAGAGCATCCGAGTTTTACACGTTAGTCCTTTCATTAGCAAAGTAAAATACATGTATATTGAAAGTTCACATTAGGATTTACATATATGTTTTAGTATTTTCATGTGTTTGCTCTCCTGAGAACTAGTTGGTTGAATGCCCCCGTCACGCCCTCACTGCTCATATTGAATGCACAGAGGTGAGCGAAAGGTGAGTATCTGCTGCTGGAAGAGGGGCCATTAAGAAGAACCTGTTAATTTTTGCCTGCATTAGTTAAGAAAGATATATATCTGACCAATTACATAGCTTGGTTAATTTAACTAGTTATATTAAGGATGATTCTCAAGTTGTTTGGCCTCTTGAGGCCTGGCCATTGCTGCCTTATCAATGGCCTGAGACATTGAATAAACAGACCTTACTTCAAGCTGTTGTAAAGCTTTACTTTTTTTCTTAAAATAATAAACATTTTATACTTCCTTCCTCTGTCCAATGATTTTGCACCCCCCTGCAGACTCTCTCCATTTCTTCTGTTCTCCGAGTACCCCCATAGCAATCTGCTTGCTATGGGGCATTCATGCAGTTGCGTTCCGAGCTGGGCTTTGTGCGTCTATAGACACACATCATGCCCCCTGCTTCCTCCTTACAGGATTTGAGTAACAGCAGCAGGATTCAATGCCTCCTATGTTTGTTTTGTTTGCACCACACACAATAGCTCTAGCAGAGTGCATTATCGACTTGATGTTGAGCTGTTGTCATAGTCAAAGGTCCTCTGAGCTCAGGATTCATTCTTTGTCAAGCTAAGTAGTGATCTAACAGTAAATGGTTCCAGGTACTTTAATAATGTCACATGGGCGATTCTGTCATCTGCAGCACTTCTTAAGCAGCAGTATTGCTGAAGTTCAACTTCTGTTATCACTGACATATTGCTGAAGCTCCATTGTTAAGTGGGTTCACAGCATCAAAGCAACATATGTCTGCTCTGAGCAGTCAGGAGATGACCTCCTAGGATAATGTTAGTTGAAATTTAGTAAATATCACTGGAGATTTGTTACCAGCAGCAGTATGGCTCATATAACATTATTATTATTATACAGGATTTATATAGCGCCAACAGTTTGCTCAGCGCTTTACAATATAACGAGAGACAATACAGCAACACTACGGTTCAATACAAGAGGGTTAGGAGGGTCCTGCTCCTTGGAGCTTACAATCTAGGAGGTAGGAGCTAGTGGTACAAAAGGTAGTAACTGTGGGGGATGTACTGGTAGGAGGAGTAGAAGATTCCATTATTAGCTGAGGGCAGGATAGGCTTTGCTGAAGAGAAAGGATTTCAGAGATTGCCTAAAAGTGAGCAGAGTAGGCGATAGTCTGATAAATTGGGGTAGAGAGTTCCAGAGGATGGGGGAAGCTCTGGAGAAGTCCTTGAGACGAGCATGGGAGGAGGCGACAAGGGAGCTAGAGAGCAGGAGGTCGTGCGAGGAGCGGAGAGTACAGTTTGGGTGATATTTGGAGACGACATCTAATGTTGAACCTTTTTTTAAATATGCACCTGTTGCTTTGAGTATAGTAGTCACAGACAGGAATGATGTTACTGCTGTGGAATAACACACATGGATTTTAGCTCAGTACAAAGTATCTTGGAAGTAGCTGCTTTGGTCCAGTTCCAGGAGCTGTTGCTGGAAAGAAACAGAATTCTATAACTTCCAGCCTATTTTTTTCTAACAAAAGCAGACCTCTCTGGCATGCAGACAGTTTAACATAAACCATGTGCACATGGTTTACATAAAAATTGTGTTCAAGCTGAGGCTTGACTTCAAAAAAATGGAGCGTTTTAAGAATGAATAGAAATGTAAGCAAAGCAGATATAAGATAGCTGATGTGGTTACGGTTCAATTTATATTTCACCGCATTCAACTGTGTATTAGATATATGGCATATGCAAACTGTTGTTATTCTTTGCTGGCTCTTCTGCCTGATTATGGAGAGGATTATGCATGGTTAGTGTGTTGGGTTGATCAGTCAAAGATAATGAAAATCTTGGCAAGCTTCCTCTC